TGTGCATGTCGGGACGGATGGAGCTGAGCAGGTAGCCTGCAGAGTTCTCTACGGTGCGCCAGTTGTGGGAGCGGTGCACGGATTCGTGGTGTCCGTTAATATAGGTCGCCATACCGTCGGACATGGTGTTCTATCCGTGCCGTTGTAGGTCAGTGACGCAGGACAAGACTGAGACTACAGATGCGCACCGTAATGATTGACGAGGGAGAGGAGAGAGGAGCTATGGCGGTGATGGACGCGACAGACTGTCGCCTCGTATTTATGCGGGATGCGGGCGATATCATAGGGCCTCTCGGAGTCACGGTCGGCTCGGGACCTCGGCGCAATAGCATCCTGGGTGACTCATCTCGGCATACAGGCTTTCGCTGCCAGGGGCCAGGGCCAAATCCTGAGTCTAGTAGTGTGGAGAAGAGTGCTCCCTCGGCGTCTCGACTTTCATCTCAACCCTCGTCGTCCATCGCGCGTCCCTGATATATCTACCGTGTGCTTCATTTCATCCAACATTCTTCATGCCATCACCCCCGCATCGAACAGACATAGCTGCAAGGCGAATACATGCGTATTTCGTGATCGATAGCCCTACTTAGTTCCGTGATGTGAATGTCCCAGTCGGAGGCTACCCGGGATGCATCGTGCGCTCAGCTTATTTGCGGAATGCGGTTGCGCTCACAATGACTCGCGCCCATTCGAATGAGTAAAAAACAAGTCGCGAGTGCTCACATCATCTCTCCCATTGTGCATCTCTGGCAGCTTCCACGTCTCTTCGTTTGACCAGAAGATGGAGGCCTACTTTGCCTCGCGCAATGACCTTATTTTGCAGGATCGATCGTCGCGACTAGATGCGTACCAGCTCAAACAGGTCTCGGATGTAGAAAAAGAAGCAGACGACATTGTGCGCACCATTCGCACCGTTGAAGCTAATTCAGTCTGGGGAGTGAACAAGACGACCATTTTCGACTACTCGCCTGACGACAACTCCCCCAATGTCTTTCCCGGAATGGCGTTCCTTACAGGTATTCTATCAGCGGCGTACTGGGATTGCAACCAATTCGATGAATTTGATTATAGCACGGGACATCGCGGTGCATACGAAAGTGTTCCATATCATGAGCAAGGTTTGTGTCCCTCCAATCAAGACACTTGTTCACGACGTCTGAATGATTTTAGATGCCCAAGGGTGCGCTCCTCCATGCACACCTTTTTGCCACCGTCAGAGCTCGCAAATTACTTGAGATCGCTCTCACACAACCCGCAATATATATCCGCACTACAACCCGTCTTACACCAAGTAGTATCAAGGCCACGCTGCCATTATTCAAGGCGCTTCCTTTCGCTCAGCGGACCAACTTGACATCTTTGACAGATGACGCATACATTCCTGGTGAATTCGTACCGATACGCGCAGCGAGGGATAATTTTGATGTGAGCTTGGGTGGCCCGCGTGGCTTCGACGACTGGGTCATTAGTTGCATGGAAATAAATCCGTCAGAGGCCTACGGAACCCACAACACGACTGCAAAGGTCTGTATTCTCGTAGCATGTCGACTTACACATCCTGATCCGTTTGGGACTCTTCCATCACAACCTGACCACGCAGATCTGGGCCAAGTTTACGAGCACCTTCAAGGTCAATGAGGTAAGGCTCAGTATATTGATTGTCGTAGCAGGCGTGTTGAACCCCGACAGCCACTTTGCTTCCACATGCCAATCTGGAAGGCATATGTCAAGCAATTTTTCCTGTCCTCCGTCGAAGACGGGATCTCGTATGTGGAACCGAGACTCAGCTTCTGGCAAAAGTACGAACGTCATAATCTCAGCGGTCATTGACCGTGGATTGGATGCGTATATTTTTGCAGGTTCTGCAGCGGCGAAGATGGCGAGAGTAACATCCCGCACCGAGAATGGTTGATGGCATATGACGGCGTCATCAAGGAAGTGAAGGAGGATCTGAAGAGACAAGGTCGGGAAAATGCGTTTGTGGGCTCCAGAGTATATTTCTCATTCTTGATGTGCGCACGATGGCGTCTTACGATCACTTATTAGGTCATATATTCCACCATGCGCACGGATTCCCCGGAACAGCTGGAATGGTACCTTGAAGACTGCCTTGCACTCAAGCAAGAATTCCCCCATCTGATCGCAGGTCATTTTGTTCGCATTCTGCCGCGCATGGCTTTCTTACTTTGGCTTGTCTCCCCAGGTTTTGACCTCATAGGGCACGAAGATTCGTTGAGACCCTTGATAGAATACATCAAGCCTCTCACTACGTTCCAAGAACGCCAGAAAGAGCTTGGGTTAGACATCCCGTTCATATTCCATGCCGGCGAGACTCTCGGAGACGGTACCGCTGCTGATATGAACCTATATGATGCTATACTCTTGGGTACCAAGCGCATAGGCCATGGGTATGTCCTTGTATGCGCGGTCACACGACATACTGACGCGGAGTCCGATCAGCTTCTCCCTCGTCAAACATCCCAAGTTAATGGAGATCTGCAAGGAGAAGAAGATTGCGCTAGAAGTTTGCCCCATTTCGTACGTTTGCTCGTATCTCTCACGCAGTTTTTATGAAAAAAAATATTCGATTTTACACGCATAGGAACGAGGTCCTAGTCAGTACTTCCATTCGAACTCGTTCGTTGCCGTCGTCCTGACGTACAGATACGAAGCGCTTGACCACATCTATACCGATGCACCCACTTGCGATCATGATTAACCATGGCCTTCCAGTTGTGCTGAGCTCGGATGATCCGGCTGCATGGGGAAGCACGGGTATGACATATGATTTTTACCAGGTTTGTAATTACCAATGCTCATGCGTTCTCTGCCGCCCACTGATACCAGCTTTCGCGTATTTCAGGTTCTTGTGTCGAGTGAAGTCTCTGGTTTGATCACCATGGGCGAACTTGCCCGCGATAGTCTCAAGGTATGCTCTTGTCCGTCATTTGCACCATACACCAACATATTTGTTTGCCCAGTACTCCTGTCTGGATGACGACGAGAAGCAGCATGCACTGGCTGCATATAATGAGCAGTGGAGTAAGTTTGTCGAGTGGGTAGTTAAAGAATACGGAACAAATTTAAACAAGCCAGCGAGATTGAACTAGAGTTCGTCCTGACATAATAATTATATTCGCTCCATACTGGATGGCCACACCTTCCAGAAACGCGCAGTCTGACCACAAGCAGTAATGCGCAATTCAACTATCTCAATATATATAGGTCTATCGCCCGAGGACTACTGATAAGGAACGTTATGGTGTTGAGGTAAGGTGTAAGTAACAATATGAGTGACGAGATACAATGCTTTAGAGCTTCGGGGTCGTTGCGATAGATGCCCTCTGTAACCACAACACATAGCTAGTTACAAAACGTCACTGGAAGCAGCACAGATCATGCCATTATGCAGATAAGAGTAAGGCGGCAAGCCCGCAATTGGCTTGTGAAAATAAAAAGAGCGCTGGTATATGTACTGGCGGAAACGAGCAGGATTGGGGGCTGGAGAAGAAGCTTGTCACTGCACAATGCAGCATCCGACTCCCTTCCCAGGTCCTGGTTGGTTGTAGGGATCCTCGTTCTTGGCGACCGGTCCCCAAACTGACGGAACCTACGGTCAACGTCAGCAGATGCATCATCTAAGAACGGTCTAACAGAGCTATGGTCGCTGGTAGGAACACGAGATAACGAACCAGAGGATCCTTCGTTGTTTTGCAATACCGAATGAGGCTGAAAATCGACGTAGAGTATGCGAGGAAGAGCAGTGACACACAGGCAGAAAAGTAGGCACAGGGGGATATGCATGTCATCAGCACGTAGCAGGACACAACTGAGAAAGCAACGCACCTCGCACTGGCTTCGCTGACCATGATCCTTGGCCTCGCCAAGTCCTCCCTCAATCGCTGATTGTGCTCTGTCAGACGACGAAGCTTGAGCTCCGACATCGACTGTTTCTGTGGTCGGTTGTTCATCTTTCAGGTCCAGGCGCGAGTATCAGAGTTGGGGCTACAATGATGGCGAGCGGGCGTGGGTCGTTTCGAGTTCTTGAACGCCCTCGAGACCTCGCACGACAAGGCCAACGACCAGAAGGTGAGCGACGACGATTCGGATGCGCACGCATGGCGCCCAGCAAGGCTCACCAGCAGATCAATATTGGGACCGGAATCCGGACACTGGGTATACGCAGGCGTCTAGGGCACTGCGGACAGTTGGAGGTAGGTCGAGGAGAATGCCGTCCGTCGTCGCTAGCAGCGGGCTGGGGTAGGAGAGAAAGTAAGAAGATGAGAGTTTGGTGGGAAAACGACCTTGGCTGAGACGGGCGAACGCTGCACAGGCCGGCCGCTGTCAGCGTCGTTCGGCGTTTGCTGCCTGGAATGTTCACTCATCTCACTTTGATGGACGCTCTCACTCTGGCACGTGTGCCCTCCTCACTGCTCCCAACTCATGTGGCCACTAGTGAGATAATGTTCACATACCGTTGATATAAAGATTCGAAGCTTGTCGCAGTAAGTACAACAAGCATTCACGACCGCAATATCCCTCAGTGAGGCTGTACCCGATCGATTCCGGCTCCAAGATTATTGCACCGCGGCCTCAAACACGCACCGAAACATTATTGTAGTCGGAAATCTGTTCTGGGATACATGGCCATGAAAGAGGTACATCACGTTTATATTGAGCTGTAGTTGATTCAGAATTTCCCCAGCAAGCTGGGGTACCTCCGAGAGATGCGATACTAAACAGATAGCTACACGGTGGGATGCATTACTGTCTTCCAGAACAGTACTCCGGCCTTTCTACTTCCACGACACTATAGAATGCTCGAAATGCAACGGGTCCAATGCCATCCTCCGTCCTGACATCGCAGTTTGTGACTAAATGCGCTAATATTGCTTTCATCAAATCTGTCGCAAGGAATCGGCCGGGGCTAGTTGCGAAAGAACAGCTGCAACCACGACAAGCGTTGGAAGGAAAGGCGAGGCGATAAAAATAAGACAAGTCGTACCATGCCCGTATCCCAATGTCAAACAAGAACCACTGCTGGCAATCTTGACAGACGCTTCAGTCATGTCTGCATTTCGGACATCACATCCGAATATATTGCTTCATTGTGCTCTCCTGCTAGACGCCACAAGCCTGGTTCTCGCAGGGATGAAGGTACGATCAGAGAGCGCGTAATTTTTCTTCAGACTTCGCTTCATGGAAACTGTCAAAACAAGCACAGATCTATCAGCATGGTTCTCATACGAACAAAAAAGGATATGATAAGCTGGAGGCTGAAGAGATACAAGTGCTGCTTCTGGCGCACCTCGTCACCTGCTAGTGTTAGTTCTGTCAATTTGATTCAGACATATTCCCTGATACATGACATGATCTCCTTTTGTAAGATTTCAGCATGGTGTGGGTTAGTGATACAATAGTGCAAGGCAAACATGCAGAGCTGCAAGCTTGATCACATAGTCATACATGGGTCCGCCATACAACCAAAATGAGAGCAACATACCAGACACTGAATGTCAGTCGTTTTTAAGAAAGAAAAAGGCGAAGAACAAGAGCATGGATTGAGTGTTCTCCATCATACTATAGGCATGTGATAGAGGGCAGCACGACGGTTTCAATATGTAAGACCATCATCACCTTTCACTCTCGCTGCCAAATGGATAGAGCACAGTAAAGAGGAGTGAACAAAATGCCATATAAGACGTTTTTCCCTTTGTTGATATGAACATGTGGTACGCGTTACTGGACAAGAAACCAGCACCTCAGGTTCACATGTCCCCAGCAGAGCGTCCTGCGTTTCTGAAAGGCAGGTCTATAACCTGATTGTATACATCGCGAGTCAGTCATGCATCGACTATGAATTGATCCTCGCGTGACTGCTCGCCTTGCGTTTAAGAACTATGCAACTCCACGCACACCTTGACCATAATCAATACATGTCCCAGTTGGAGTACTCACCAATGGTGGTAATTTGGAAGCTCTGCCTACTAAGATCATCCGAGTATTGGGCTGTTTGTCCTAATTCAAGGCCGGATGCTTCTCTCCATTAGTGGAATAAAACCGGCATTGCGGTGACAATAGTACAAGGGTCACTAATCTTGCGCACCCCATGACGACCATGTCCGCTACCTTCAATTCGAACAGGGTATATCGGCTACCGGCGATATCTGCGAAAGCGACTTCGTTCACTAGATACTAACGTGTGTGTCTGTAAGAAGTGCTCTCGCTAGACACCATGTTCGTTCATTGCTCTAACGAGCTCTGACAATATGGTTGAGACAAGTACAATTCAAACATAAGTGAGCACATACCTTGTTCCACAATGGAGATGGTAAGTAATGTCAACTTGTATCACTACCAGAACTGGGACCACGTCAAAACGAGAGAAAAGTGTGCCATTAATCGAGCTTATGCTACACAAGAGAAGTGTCTGACTCAGGCTCAGAGTAAACAATAGCAAAGTCCTGACCGGATGCTAGAAGTTCCGTATAATATGTACTGCATTGCAAATGCTAACATGTATCCGCGAATGGTAGATGTTAGGGCAAGGTAATGTGTCCAAAGTTGCATGAGGAGCGACCACGATAGTCTTGTGGGCGGTGCGCAGAACGGGGGGGACGCGCGGAGGGAAGCGAGGGGCGGTGGCGTAGATAGGACAGCAAGCCCGCCTTCCTGGATCGGATGTCACTGTAGCGTTGTCACATCTGAGCAAACATCGGTCCCGAAGTAACGTAGGACATAGCGCGAAGACATACCATGCCAATGAGTGATGAGTCTTACATGATGACACAGCACCCAGACTTTTGCTGTGCCGTAGCAAACGGATCCTCTGCCTTGCTCACAGGTCCCCATACAGACGGCACCTGTACAGGTAAATCCGGTTAGCAATCAGATGGAAGCAAAATATGCAGCGTGACCATACGGCCACGACCAAGGAGACACGAAAATGCATCGTGTCGTATGGGAAAGTAAATGAGATCGCCACGAGAGGCAAAAGGGCTCCAAAACATGTCGGTAATGGCAGACAACAGACAGTTGAACAGCACGGAGCAGTACTCACGAGATAGTCTTTTGTTGTTTTGCAGTAGCGTATCAGGCTGACCACGTCAGATATTCGTGAGATGCGCCCACATACATATGGAGATATCGTACCTTACGCTGGCTTCACTCACTCGTAGACGTGGTCTTGCGAGATCCTCTTTGAGTCGTTGGTTATGACCCTCCAACCTACGAAGCTTGAGCTCAGACGCAGAGATGTTGGGTTGTCGGCTGCTCATTGTGGGAGACCAAAGCCGCAATGATCGGACGAACGGAGGGGATGAGAGGATGCGCGGTGAGGACAGCACTACCTGGCTTGACCCAGCTACACGCAAAAGGCGACGGCCGAGCTGGGAGCTCTGTCGTAAAATAGAGAAATGACCGCGAGACGGGCTCCAGAAGAAGGAAGGAAGGAAGGAATGGAAAGGAGCGGCAGTCTTGAGACAGAGGTGGTGGAAGCGCTAGCTAGAAGTTGCCGCTGGGAATGAGCGCGCTTGTCTTCCTTCTATTTCAGGCTAGTCTCCCATCACGTGCGTCGCGTCGCCCGCGTCTCTCGCGCGCCGCTGCGGCCGTCGCGGACATCTCCCCCTCGCTCGTTCCCCATGGTCCGCCAGCAGTCTCACCTCGTCCAGAAGCTATCGCCTATCAATCCACGATATCAAAAATCTTCCCTCGCTCGCTATGGTGCGTTCCCGGCCATGTCAATGATATCAACTTCTCATTCGGTGGCTGTGTCTTCCAGTAAAACAGCCACCAAAGTCTCCTCTCGCAGCTATACATCCGTCTGCGAGAACGGCACGCGTTAAGCTGCAGAACGCGAACACAAACCGCTTTCTCAGGAATCGCACACAGCTTTCTACTATCCATGAACAGCCTCAAGAAGAAGAGGAAGAGGCATACGATCATTCATACGATCCTTACCGAGGACTCAACACATTAGAGCGCAATGAGGAACGCGACCTTCGTAAACACGCTAGTGAGGAGGAAGACATGGATTGGGATGACGAAACGACACTTGTTGCTATGCTACATGACGTGTACGTCAATCTCGCTACGTTGTTGCAAGCCCCATCAGAACTATAACATCCGTTGGGAATTCAGCACCCCTGGAGAAGATGAGGATGAGAAACTTATCGCTCTGGCAAACAAACTCAAAGCACCGATGTCTGCACAAAACACTGCGATGAAACAATACCTCGCGGAGACAATCGTGCCAGTGATCACGCACGTCAAGGAGCTCCATGGAACACTTGAGGACAAGGGTACGTGCGCATATATGCAGGTAATTTTGCGTCTGGTATACCGTGAGCTCGGTTTACAGTCGATCTGGCTTTTGGGGCTGGGGTAATTACATTTGATAAAGTCTGCAAGAAAGTGGAGACTATGGCACTCCATGACGAAGACGATCTAAAGGTTACGTATGCTGATGTCCAGGTGCGTGACACCGCTTGTAGATCTTTTTTAGCACTGATTGAGTTGAGCCGTAAAGGGCAATATGAAACGATTAGTCGACGAATTAGAGCAAGCATATACTCGTCGCGAGGACTTGTGGACTACTCTACAAGAGGACGTCGATAAATGCGGTGACTATCACCATCCCTCGCCTGTTTTCCCAGAATTTTAACCTGTTATCTGACTTGATTTTGATTGGGTCATTGCAAGCTGAACGTGCTCAAGCGGCACTGGACGCTCTTCCAGGTGAGGTGGAATGCGCCATTATATCGGTCGAGAAGCGGAGTAAGGAAGTCGATAAAGATACCGGCGCGATGTCAAAGCACAAAATCCTTAAAGGACTCATGGAAAATCTATGAATATCCGAATGAGTATATGCACCTATTCTCCGCTTTGGTCCTCCTACTTCGCCAAAACCCCTTCAGCAAATCTCATTCCCTTGTTCGATGCTATCATTCGCATAACATGACGTGCCCTCCCTTGGCAACATCCCCTTCAATCTTGTCTCGCATATTTTCTCATCGTGATTTCGCCATGACATCGTCCCACACCCTGTATTGCTATCGTAGATAAAGCATGTCTCCTTGTGTATCATTATGTTCATGGACAATTTATATCGGATTTATCCGTTGTCATCGTCTGTCCGATGGGTATTCCGCGCATCCGGAAACATACCTTAATCGCCACATGCAAGCGAGCTTCTGCCGCCCTTCGGCTTTCGAGCGAACGTGAGTGAAGTGGATTTGGTACGAGCTACGACAGTCCCTGTTAGTACATACAATGTTCTACACATCCGTTTAACTACATCACGCCACGGCACCGTGCGCTGTCGTAGAATAACAGCGATGGCAGAGACGCGTCATACACAACTTATCGTACTGAAAACAACAGTAGCCGCCTCACCTCACGCGCTCGCATCCTCCATCTCCTCTGCCTGGGTCATCTTCACCCATAACCCACCCTATCATCCGCAATTAGCCTCGGCGCCATCTCGCAGGTAGAGCCGCGCACAACACTCACGTTTGAATAAAGCGTCAGATGTGACTTCGGCCAGAACTTCTCGAAGCTCTTCCGGCCCCAGCCACCCGCCCACTCCGCGGGGGGCAGCGAGCCCGGCGGCGCAGCCTCAGGCGCGAGTTCCATCGCGGAGAAGCGCTGAAGCAGCCGGATGAGGAAGAACGACATCTCGTTGTATGCAAACTGTTAGATACGTCAGTGGTATTCTCCAGGCGCAGACGGTGTGGTGTAAAACGGGGCGGGTGCTGAGAACAGGACTAAGGGAGGTGAGAACGAAAGACGGGCGCACTCACCTGCTGTCCGAGACAGATGCGCGGGCCGGCATTGAATGGGAGGAAAATAAACGGGTTCGGCGTGAGATACTTGTTCACTCGTTCGTCCAGGAAGCGGTCTGGGTCGAATTCGTGTGCTGGTGTAGGCGCAGGTGCGTCAGCTATCAAGATGCAAGGCGTCAGAGGATTTGAGTAAAATCTCACCGTCCGGGCCCCAGTATTCCGTCCGTCTGTGCATAGCAAAGACGGAATACGTAAATCTAGCGGCATGATTTTAAGACCGTCATTACGAATGCAATGGACGAGGAGATACGTACGCAGCCTTAGGTGGGATGTAAAAGGGCTTTCCATTAGGATCTGCGTTGGGGATCAGGCACTCGTCTATCGAAAACCTGACATCTTAAAGATCAATAAGGAAGGTTGGGCGTTTATATTCCATACTTGCCTGATATTGAAGGGCCTATCATATTCAAACGCAATAAGTTGAACTGTCCTTGACTGACGTTGTTCAGGAACTTACACGGCTGGGTACAACCTCAACGTCTCGTTGATCACAGCGCGCAAATATCGCATGTCCTTGATATCCGCATAAGTTGGCCTTCTGTGTGAACCGACTTTCTCAAGGACCTCTGCACGCAGACGCTGCAAAACCGCAGGATAGATACACAGGAAATAGACCGTAAACGTCAACGACGCTGCTGTCTGAAGAAACCCCTTGACTGAATAAATTGTGGATTGAGGGAGAACATGGCACCGACCGTATCACGCCCAGCGATCAGGATGTTGAGCACCTCGTCATGCAACACGACCGGATCTGATCAGCCATCAGTAATATTTCCAACCGCACATACAGGCTCTGCTCACCGCTGGTATATTTAACCAGATGATCCAACAGCGTCTCGTCGTCCGCACTATCCGTATCCCCCTCCATCTGGCTGACCTTCTCCCCAGCCTTCTCCCGCTCCTCTTTCTTCTGCAGTGCCTCTTCCAAAATTGGGTCGAGGTATTCATTCACGATACGCATGTGCTCATCTGACTTATTCTTCCAAATCTCGAAAAACCGCCAGATCTTACCCACCGCGGCGCGCTCCGCAACGACCTGCTGCGCCTGCTGGAACGCACGCGCGAATGCTTCGGCGCGGTCGACCTGCCCCGCGGATGTCGGAGACGAGACGAAGGGCGTCGGGGCCTGATTGTGCGGGAAGGGTAGCGGGGAGCGAAGCGAGTGCACGCAGGATGCGAAAAGGAACTCGGTCGCAGAGTCAAGAGTGAAGCGAGAGATGAGATCCTGTGAGTAATACATTAGCATGAACGACGGAAGACTTGAGACAGAGTTGATTGTGGATATATGTGCGCGATTTGTCATGGGGAATTGTTTGAGGCTGAGTCCAAAATAAAGGAAACAAAAGGGGGGCAGCCATTAAGTTATGAGGATAGCGGGTATGTTTCTTACAAATACTACACTTGCACCAGTAATTTCCCTCCTTTCCATGGTCTGCATTGATTATAGTTGCGCATAAACTTACTTGAAAATCAACAGCGCATCCGATACGCATACGAGCATTCATCGCAGAAAGTGCAGATTCTGTACAGAAGAATCAGCGTCCAAAAATAAAATCTTCCCGAGTACGACGAACCTGCATGACGGTCGAATAGCTCAAAGTGACTGATGCGATCCTTGCTGAAGAACGGACGCGTCATTGAACGATGCCATCTGCGATGATTACATATTGGCTTTTATCTTGCAATCGAACGAATTGTACCCATACTTCCACATGTCCCCTGCCAAACACGATGTGAAAAATGGATGATAGAATGCGATTTGACCGTACTCACCATCAGAATTAAACACACCTGTGCCCAACACAGACTTCATATATGTCTTGAATAAATCACCTGGGACGTCAACGGAGCTAATGAGAGAGGGCATATATCCTGGCCCCGTCTGACACACCCTTCTCAAAGTTTTGGAAATCAGTAGCAAGGATGCACTACAACCCCGATAATGCTTGAGCATATTTCACGAACAAGGCCACGATTGGAATACCTTGATAACATTAGGATCGCATGAAAGGAATCCGCAATCCCAAAAGATGTTGATTTGGAATGTCGGACCAAGTTCATTGAATTTATCCCATGCAAAATCGGCTGTTCGATCAAGTACATATCCCATAGGTTTAATTTAAAGCATCCTTGCTGGAAAAGAGGCACATGCACTCACCCGGGTATCCCATCTTCATGGTCTCCATAATCTCCGTAAGGACATCAAGGCCCGCGACGCGCTCCCCTTTCCAAGAAGGCGGCAGTACGGCACCAAGACGTGCTGCCGCGCGATTGAATTTGAACCATCGCAGCCGCACACGGAAAACAAGAAAGAGGGGAATGCTCGAAATTGCAAGTAGAGTGATCAGCCAGGTTGGAGTAGCCACGACGTCATATCTCCCAAGTAAGTGTGCAGCGGTGGCCACACCAAGCGGGGGGATGGAGAGAAAGACGAGGACGTATAGGATGGCATAGATTCCAGGAGGGAGAGTCATGATGATGAGGGGCGAGTCCAGACGAGCGAGAGGGCGAGCTAGTTATTATGTGGGATGGGAAAGTAGCAGTCGTGCCTGCCACCGGGTGAGGTGAGCCGGAAATACCTCTGGTCATAATCAACCAGGCGCGTGGGGAATCACGGACACCAGAATCGACTGCGCCGGCAATATATGTCGGTCAGCAAGAAACTGGAAGAAAGCAGCAGCCCACACATCGCAGCTGCACTATCAGAGTCGACGATAAGGCCTGAGCTTTTCCCTTCAGCGCACGTACCGTGCACGGAGATTATCCAGCTGGCAGAAAGAGAGAGAGGAAATCAAGCAAGTCGCCATTTCTCACCGAGGCTAGCTAGGCGCATGCACAACTTTCACTTGGGTCAAGCTTTCACAAATCCCAGGTCTGCACTCTGCATGTACCGTACGGTAAGGAGTATAAATCCTAGAAACTAAATTAATTAAAAAAAACTCCGCAACAAGCGAAAGGTCGCGTATGCCATCGTGAGCGCCCAAACGTTAACCTGATAAGCATTTGGAACCAGATCTGCCAGTCATATTGCGATCACACGAATTTCAATGACGGCGGCCAATTGCAATCAGCTCTTCGAACTTACACCCCATGTCAGGCAAGTATGTAAGCCTCAAGAGTAGGCTGTATGCCTAAATGCCGCCCGTGGCAGCCTCAAGGCCGAGTATTAGGGAAATCCTAATGCATGATGAACTTATTAAGGTAAGTACAACTTTCGTGATGATGTGATCCCTCGTTTCAAAGTGTACGAGCGACCGAGAATATTACGAGTTTGTATCTGTGAATGTTCAAATTTGCCTCGCGGAGCCGCGACACTTGAACGTTTGAACGCTTGCAGGGCCGAAGTGCAGCGCTCCTGTCACGCCAAAATGATTATATACTAGTCCTACTCAATTCTATTCTGCATCACTTATTCAAAAGACCCTATAAATAGGGCTGAGGAATAGATCTGTCTCGGCCACCTTGACTGTTCTGTCAATCGAAGAAAGGGATCTTAGGCCGAGAAACTATCCGAGTCTGTCACTGCATTGTGTGAAAGGGCATGAAGGAGGACACCTACTGCCCCAGTGGTTATGCCGAACTTGACGCAAGTGAATGAAGGACCTAATTTGAGAACCCCGCCGGCGACAAGTGGACGAATGGGACTAAATATCCTGGAAGTACTTGTAATGGTGGTTGTAGTAGATGAACAGCTATCAACGCCTGGAATCGCGCTGACTCTTTTGCAAACGTTTCGCACAACAGGATCGAGTGGGACAGATAATTACTCTGGCAATATAGCAGTGGCACACGAATCTGACTGGCGAAAGTTTAATTCAAAAACTCTCAGGCTGATCATGCAAAACGCAAGCGCACCAGTCACCAGTTACGTAGAATGTATCTCCACCCTCAAGCATAAGATGCAGTAGCATGTCGTCGGAATGCTGCACGTACTTGGCTTTGCACTCCGAGTTCCCACTTGACAAGATTCTCTCGGTTGTACACCTCTCTGCGAAGCGCTCTGTCTTTGCTGTGAAGGAAGCAATGCAAGTACGCAAACACCAGTGCGTCGAGCGGGGTCGGGGCACTATCGAGGCGAGCGCAAGATCAGCATAAGTACCGGATGTGTTCGGCGATACTTACGCTGAGTTTAAGAACCATTTGTCCGTCCCCAATCGTTCGGACAGAGCAGCGATGGCTTCGCAATATTGCGTAAATACAAGTGCAGGGTCCACACGGGCACCCCATGGCGGGATAAAAGAACTGATACCCGTGAGCGGAGGAGGCGGCGGAGTGAGCACGGTCGCCAGGCTGCGTTTCTTGGCGGGAAAAGGTGTAAGAATCGCATCAAGCACGGACGGCGGTGGTTGCGACAGCATCTTAAATGAGAACGACGCGTCGAGATCACCTTCAACAATATTCCAGCGAGGAAAAAGACGCACCAGCGCGGCATGGACGTTCCCCTCCATCAACGACACCCACGCACGACTTTCATCACGAGCGGCGATGTCAGTGTATCCCTCAAGCTCGCCTAAGACGTCGCCGACACGTCCGTCTACCCATCCAGGTATAAGGTGCGCTGGGAGCAGTTCGCCGCCCTGCTCCCCGTCCTTGCTCGGGACGTGTAAATTCGGCAACAGTCCGTCGATGGCGCCGTCCTGGGTGACATCCCACCGCACAGACACGTCACTGAGTCCGCGCAGTGCGAGGTATGCCTGCCACTTCAGACACTCGACGTCGTTGCTCAGCAGGTCTTCGTTATCTGAGTTGTCATTGCGCGGTGAGTGTATCCATAGTGTAGGCGCGGCGACTGGTGATGCGGTATACGGCGAAGCAACGGGCCCGTGTGTGTGTAGTGGAAAGAGAGCGAAAATCTGGCGCAAAGGTTTGGGAATAGATGGTAGGGTGGACATGCAGTAGGACTCGGCGATGACACTCGGACAAAGAGAACGACCTCTCCGCAAGTAAGATCTACATTTTTGAAGGCAATACAAGCATAGATTTCACTGAAATTATATGCTATTTTTATATCAACTCTGATGCAACCTTTTATCTGAGATATACTACGTTTCACAAAGCAATTGCGCATATATTAGCGCAACCAAATACTAACGTAATCAATACAGTTTCTCTATGATATTTGGTTACTCTTGCTCTTCAACCCAACGTCGTGCCTACAAATTCGCGTATTTGACGAGCTCGTTGCAGTCCAGGCAAGTTCATGTCATTGTGACTACTTCATCATTCGACCACCAAAGTCTGCGGCAAACTTGCAGCAACTGGCGCTACATTCTCGCCTTGTAGGCGATCACCATGTCCGAGGGCACATCCACCCCCTCACGGCCAGGAACACCAGTCGCCGACCTACCTACGTTTTCGCATGTCCGACCATACCGATTTACATGGGACCCCGCATCGCGCAAGCAAGGCCCAGGCAGCGTCTCAGCGACGACCGAGGGGCGCGGTGACTATTTCGCAGAGACGACCCCGTTCGATTTATACGGCTCATCTCTCTCTTCCCTCCAGCCTGGGGCACTGCCTGCAGAATGGAGCAGCGCGAAATATGGTTTCCACGGTGCGTGCTATTTCATTGATGCGCCAGATACCCCCTCACCCCGAACAGCGATCTCCACCGTCGTGAACAGTCCACATAAACGCTCCGCGCCACCCAAGGCCCACTCCAGCATCCCCTCTGTACCCCCCGCTGAGCTTCCCCGCGTGCGCCGGAAAGATTTTGACGCATACCTCACCTCCGTCGGCCCCGAATGGGAGCGGTTCCAGAAGAACGCAGAACAGGGCCGCGAAGGCAGCGCCCAGATCCCCTCCACACCGCTGCCCTCGTCGAACATTGATCTCCCCCACCACGAGCATGATCCAAACACACCACGCGCTCCCCGTCCCACACCCGGACGCGCACTTCCTCCGCTCGAGTCCGTCCCTGCCGTGTTCTTCGACCCCAACTTCAACCTCAGCGACCCGCGCACGTTCGGCGCCGTCACCGAGCAGCTCGAGGGCGCAGACACAGACCCTGCTGCGCTATCGTACTCGCTGCCGCTACTCGAGAAGCTCTCGCACCACGCGGACACGATTGAACAGCACCTCGTCCGCGAGATCTCGCTGCGGTCCACGTCATTCTTCGCCGCGCTGTCCAACCTGCAGGACCTGCAGACCGAGTCGGAGCAGTGCCTCGACCGTATCGGCCGTCTGCGCGGGCTCCTGCGCGACGTCGACGAGACGGGCGCGCGGCGCGGGCTCGAGATCGTCCGCCGGGAGTGCCGCCTGCGGAATCTGGACGCGGTGCGCGAGGGCGTGCGCGTCGTCGGAGGTGTAGTGGAGATGACGGGCGTTGCGAAGAGCCTCGTCGCGGCGGGACAGTGGGGCGAGGCGCTGGACGTGATTGAAGAGCTGGATCGGCTATGGGATGCCGACGTGAGCTCAGAGGGGAAAGTGCAGGTACCGGCGAGTCCTGCACCGTCGGGTAAGTCGAGAGATACGCCCCGGGAGCCTCTGCCTACGGTACCAGAGTCGCCGCCGGACAGCCCAAAGGCCCCGTCTGCGAACGGCATCCAGCGACCGCCGCTGAACGTGCCGTTGTCCTCCCTGAACGCGTTTGCGGCACTCCCGGTGCATTTACGCGAGCTGACGATGGAGATTACTTCCGCGCTGACCTCAGAGTTCGTGAACGCGCTGCGGCTGGACCTCGTCGAGCGCATTGATGCCCCCCAGGGCGCGCCAGAGATGGTCATACAGGAGTCTCCCGACACGTCGCTGAAAGACAGACTGCGACCGCTGCTGCAGTGTCTTGCGCGGACGAGGGGCGTGCGAGAAGCGAGTGTGTCGTGGAGAGAGGTGGTCATGGTAGAGGTTCGGAATACGCTTAGGCGAGTGAGTGCGCGTTCTCAGAGCGATGCCAGGTAGCGTTCTGCTGACGTGCTGTAGCGAATACCAGGGTTGGATGTGGATGACGAGAAGTAAGTACGCCGTACGCATCTGCCCCGACGATGGCTAACGCTGACGCACAGGTCCGGTGGGGGAGGGGAGCTACGTTCGATGGCGCACGCGGCGTTCATGGACGTCGCACGGAGGATGTATCAGAGTCTGCTGCGATGCATCGAGGGGCTGCAGCGGCAAAACGGTGCGATCATCAGCGTGCTCCAGTCTGTGCGGTACGTGCTGCGGTGCTCGGTTTCATGCATACGTCACTGACAGGGACATGGAAGAATGCCCAAGGGGACGGTCGACATCCCGGGGTTGCAAGAAGAGCTAGTGGGGACGCTATCGGCAGCCACGGAGCTCGCGCACGCGCGAGCGTCCAAGGTCGTCGCAGCACGAGCAGAACAGCACGCAGCACTAGACCTACCAAGCTTCTGCAGCCTGTTCGATGAGTCGTGGAAATTCGTCGTCGAGTCGGAGATGGTCTGCCGGCGGATGATCGTGGGCCTGCGCGGGACGCTCATCAGCCAGGTGAGTCTTGCGGTCCTGTACTGAGCGGTGCTGATGAAAGGACACGGCAGGCCAAGGGCTTCCTGCAGACGTTCCACCAGGCGCAGATCTCACACTCGGCGAAGCTCGTGGAGGACGAGCAGTGGAACGCGGCAGAGGTCGCGCCGTCGGTGCAGCACCTGGTTGATCTGCTCGTCGATGCGTCGATCGCGGACCCCCCAGAGCTACTCCTGAACCGTCCGCCACCGAACTCTCCACTACCTGCGTCGCCCCTGCCCGTGTCGCCCCTGCTGTCGCCCAACGGTGCAGTGCGACACCCATCTTCTCCGCTGCCCTCGCCTGCCTTTGCGAGCTCGGGCTCTAGCTCGGGGATGGCGTCGCGACAGAGACGGGCACCGAGCGGCCCTGCGA